AATCTATAAAGTCAAAGGTGGAGTTACGACTTTGTTACGTCAATGTCTGAGCAACCATAGGTAATCATTTCGTCAGGTGATCATACAATCGAAGTTGTTTTTGAAGGTTGTGCGCTCATCTCCATCTTCGTCCACTTGTTATCGATACTGTAAAAATCGTAAGGATTTTACTACAGCACAAGAAACTCTAGTGAAATCAAGATTCTGAGAGGAAGACATTTCTTTTTGGGGTATTCATCTTATTCGTTGTCAAATTATAGTCATTCACCCAAAGTTACAGTACCATTTCCTTAGATATTCTTGTTTGAGCACTCTAACCCTAACTGATTATTGAGAGTAACTGGTTTCTTAAACAAATAGAGACCAACATAAATCTTTGCTAAGATAACCTACCATTTGCGAACTTCCTCTCATAGAGTAAAGTGTTCGATAAGACTCCCTACCTTTGTTAGGTCCGTTTGTTGACTGTGCACAATCTTTTATTGCAATGATGTTTTTCTGTCCTTTCATGACTATACTAACAATCAGATGACAACAGTGCAGATTCAACCATTTTTGAAAAAAATGCTACGCCTTTTCCCATCAATAATGATTCTATCTAAGTTCGTATGAAAAAAATTGAGTTAGACGTTTAAATGAAGGCTGCTCTAAGATCACCTTATTTTGTATCCCATTTCATACCCTTATTTGAATCTGTAGGGTCAAGGCTATTATTACGGCCCACTTGATATGTAATCATATCTATGTACATCCACTTTCCCACTAATTTTTTGCAAGTAAGCTTTTGGATTGAATTGCAATGATTTCTTTTGTTAAACTTCATAGAACTGGACTACCACCATACCAAAGTTGTCCTTTTCAACAATACATGCTGTTTTATTTTAGCTTCTTAAACCTCATAGTTGGTATCTTCTGGACTCAGACCTATGTCTATGTCTAAAGTGACAAATGAAATGCGAACGAACTTATTTTATTAATTAAGGGATTTGGGAGCATGAGAATGAGAAACGCGCCACTAATAACTGAAAATCCATTAATGGATACAAATGGTTTGGGAAAAAAGATATTGTAGGAATCGTAAAAAAACCACAGTTATCACTTGGCTTGCCCACAAATCTACCTATTTCTGACTTTCAATTATTTAAAAAAAAGAGTTACATGTCAAAGCATAATTAATTATAATTACACAATGACTGTATAAATGAATGGATATGAATGTTAATTATAATTCATGAGAAAAATAATAATCAAGTATCAAAAACAAATAATAAACATGATGTACTGCATTAAACTCCTAAATTCCAAAGCTCCTTGTTCGATTTTTTTTTGCGATTTTTATCACATGATTACATTTTTTTAGTCACTGCGTCATTCTTTACAGGTCCTGCCTACCATGTTCGCATTTTATCAAAAAACGGTTTCTTACTCCTTAATGTTCCTACTAATCTTGTCAGTTCTCTTTGGCTAAACGCAAATTGACAAATTTCCTATAGAACTTTACCCATTTTACTTTTCCAATGCAAATTTTCAGTGCTTTTTGGCTAATTTAATGCAGGCGATTCCATTTACCCACCAACTTGAACAAAATTTCCCAGAAGATTCGGCTACTGTTTGATAGTTAACACCTCTCATACGTGAAGCTTTTTTTGGCTCTTACAGATTTCGAATAA